ATCAACCCAGCTTTTCTCCCGTCTGTGGCGAGAAGAAACCATCTGTAGTCTGTATTTCCTTTTTTATTCTCTTAGATCCCATTTATCGTTTATGTAAGGAAAAATCTGGAAATTCATGCTTTGTGTACTCATTATTTTCTATGTATCAGCACATGTCTCTGTCATTTACACACGTTGAGAGCTAAATCCATAAAAACACATGTTCTATCCTTGTTTCCATAGGAATCACTGGGTGTTTTTTGTGGGGTTTTTTGCCTCTACTGCTTTGACTTGAGAACAAAACTTCATTGTTTTGGGCTCCTCCTCCTGTGAAAACATTGTGTTACTGAGCATTTTTGCTCATGGTACTAATTTTAAAATAATTGTTTGTTTTGTCTGGTGCTTATTATATGGTCGTGAATTTTGAATTTTGTAATTACCAGAATCTACGGAGGCAGCACGATCCTTAGTGGGAAAGATTGAAAACAAGGTAGGGGCATGCGGTGGCTGGAAAGAGAATTCTGGAAGCATCAAAAATTTTGTTCATCCCCCAAGACACCCAAAGATGTTCTCTGGTTTCTGAGGTTTGCCCTCCGATTCTGTTAATTTCTTCCTGAAATTACTAACTTCTGTGGCTTTGTGGGATTTTTGTTTTTCTTTTTTCATGTTCAAATTCAGTTTCTGTCTCTTATAATCAAACACTTCTTGAATAACACAGTGACCTTACAGTCTGTCTAATTTTAAAAATCTAGGCTTTGATTTGAGGATTCCACTGCTGATAGTGAAAGGGGTTGATGTAGAAGTGTTCCAGGGAAGAAGGGGAAGCCAGTGTCTCAGGAAATTCTCATCCTGTGCACCTCTAAAGATTATTAGGGACTGACTCCATGCCCAAGTTTGATGCTGAAGTGGTGAATGCATGCTACCAAGCAGAAAGGAAGTCCTAAGGCTGATTTAAAACTGTAAAAAGTTGCTCCCTGCAAATCAAGACAGCAACAGAAAGGCATTTCCCAAAGTGTGTTCCAGTTAGAATAGGGTGACCATATATCCTCCACTTTGAGAAATGAAAGGGGATGCCTTTACCGACTATGCAAGGACAGCAGAGGTAAAACAGGGTTGGTCATCCTAAAGAAAATACTTCTTAACAAAGGAACTTTCTTGGCTCAATTGTTGAGAGTAGCAACAACCTTTCTACTAAAGACTCCAAACCTGACTAAATGTTACCTAAAGCAGCATTTCCCAAACTCTGTAATTATGAAATTACTACCATCCCAGGGACCCATGTTCTAGAGAACATACTTCTTTTTTTTTGGTACCAGGGATCGAACTCGGGTCCTTGCGCTTGCGAGGCAAGCGATGGAACCACTGAGCTAAATCCCCGGCCCAAGGACATACTTCTGAAAACATTAAATTTAAGCATGTCTCATTGAGCTATGGTGTAACTTGCTACCTTCATGAAGGACTTGAATCTAGAGGCCTGCAAAACAAACCTATCTTCCTACCACATTCCCTTTTGACTGCAAGTACTATTACTATTTCCTCCTTTAAGGATCTTTAAAGGAAATGCAATTATAATGGGGTTAAGCGTTATGTCATCTGGAAGGAATAACTCATTAACTACCTAAACATTAGCGATAATTAGTTTATCTAAATAGCCTCTTACCACCCATTGATTCTGAGTGGAGAACAGGTCTCCTGGGAATTGTCTTCCCAGGAGGCGTGGGATAAAGAGGGTCTGCAGCTTGGGACCCTGGCCTGGCCTGTGCTGTAGTTTAGAACAGGGCTAGGTTCATATGGTTCCCAATCTTTACCCCAACAAAGAACCCTTATCTTTACCTTTCTCCCATATTCCTAGTTTGTAAAAAATATTGCCTCTCAAATAACTTGAATTTACTTGGTAGTAACATTTGTAATCTGTCATCCCTTATTGGTCTTTTACCCCGCTTCTGAGAATTTTCCCCTCCCCAGCTCCAATCATGAAGTTCTAGAAAGGGTTTCCATGATCTTCTGAAGCCCCACCTTTCTGTTCATAGTAATTAATTTAGGGGTGGGCCCTTGAACCAAGATGGCCCAATCACAGAACTCCTCTGGGATTTTTGACGTATGGATCAGAGTGTGCAAATCTCAGTCCCCGTTGGGCTACTGACGCTGTTGGATAAGGGCCTGGGAGCTGCCAGCCAACTGTGTCCAGCCACATGGAGGAAGCTGGTAGCTTTGGTTTGAATGTGGCCCTCAAAGTTCATGTGTTGGGAACTTTGTCTACAATTGAGGGTGTTTGGAGGAAGGACCTTTAAGTGATTAAGTCATAAGGGCACAGCCTTCATGAATGGATTAATGCTTTATTGCAAGAGTCAGTTCCTCATAAAAGGATGAGTTCACCTCCTCCCCATTTCTCTCTCTTGCCTTTTTGTCACATGATCCCTTCTGCCATGGGATGATACAATAAGACCCTTGCCAGATGTGGCCCCTGATCTTTGTGATAGTTAATTGTAGTGTCAACTTGAATGGATTAAGAAATGCCTATCGGGTTAATAGAGCACAGTTCTGGGTGTGTCTGGATGGCTGATTTGTAAACTGAGGAGGGAAGCCTCACCCTGGCTGTGGGTGGCACCAACCATTAGGTGTGTTGCCTGGGTGAAATAAAAAGGGAAAGAAGAAGGAAGTCTGCTCCTTTTTGCTCTGGTTTTCGCCATCACATTTGGACCTTTGTCTTCAATTCCTTGAGGCTTTCAGTGCAGACTCTTTAGCCTTCCAACACACACCCTTCAACTTTCCTATATGGACTCGAACTATGCTGTGCGGTGAGCTCCTGGCCTTCAGCTTTCAATCCTCCAGCTCTCCAGCACGCAGATGGCCCTTTTGCTCTCTTCTATCCCTGACTCTGCAGGTGGACATTGTAAGCCTACTTTGTAAATCCTTTATATATCATTAAATCTGTCCCTCTAGTGAACACTAATTGATACAATCTTGAAGATCCTCACCCCAGAACCATGCTTCTTTTAAACTACCCAGGACAAATTGAATTAATACACTGGTCTTGGACCAGAGTTTTTCAACTGGTGTTGACATTTGGGGTCCGGTAATTTTGGGAGGCTGTTCTATGCACTGTCTGGTGTTTAGCTGCAACCTCCGCCTCTGTGCTCTAGACACCAGCAGCATCCAACCCCGCCAGCTGTGATAATCAGAAATGTCTCCAGACAATCCACATGTCCTGAGGCAGGAGTGAGGGTAAAATCACTCTCCATCTCAGGTTGAGAACCACTGGTCTAGAGCATGAACCCTACTCTCAGAAAAAATCACAGGCAAGGGACAGGGACCACAGGTGAGAGCTGGGGAAGGAGAGAATGTCCTGGTGACATTTAAGGCCTGGCTCAGCTGTCCCTCAGGCTCAGCACACTTCACTTCTTCCTGTGGATTGATTTCATGAACCAATTAACTGCATTTTTTTCCCCTCTAAGCTGGCTCAAGTTGAATTTCTCTGGTTGCACACAAGAGTCCTCTGTTAATCTATAATTTCCATTAGAATTTTTGACAAGCGAAAATAGCTCACTTCCTTACTCATTTCTTCCTCTCTACCCCTCCTCTGCCCAACAAGGTCCATGATTACCTTCAAGGACCCCATGAGTCAGAATTCCCTCCCCCGCATTAGACTGAGACGTTTGAGGGATGAATGAGGACCGAGAGTAAAAGTGAGTCACAGGGAGCCCCCATCCCTACCCCTACCAACACGGTAGATGAAAATGGCTCCTCTCCCTTCTCAAGCAAGCAGCACAAGTGGGTTCCCCTAAAATAAAGGTTTTTGTTTGTTTTGAGGGGAGGTACAGGGTAGTGAAGAAAATGGAATGGATTTTTTGTTTTTCCATGATAATAACAGGCTAAGCAAAAACCAGGAAGAATAGGAAGTTGATGTCTCAGTGTCAGAGGAAGCCTTTGAATAAAAAATTATATATATGGTGATTTTACCCCCAAGAGAACATTAGCGATATACGTATTGTATTAGAGATATACATATTGCATCAGGGCTCACGAGAGGAACATTTTTTTTTAGGAGAGGAACATATTTAACATATATGATATATGAAGGGTTTACAAGGCAGGCTTACTATGGCTGCCTGCAGAGTCGGGGTAGAAGAATGCAAAAGGGCCGTCTGCATGCTGGAGAGCCAGAGGATCCAGTCAAAAGAAGCCCAGGGCTCCCTGCGGAGTGCCCTGCCAAGTTTGTATTGAGAAGCCAAAAGCTGCTGCTGGAGGGCTGGTGAGTCTGCAATGGAAGCCTGGAGGTGGACATCCAAAGGTGATGGTGAAGATTGGAGCTGCTCAAAAAGCAAAGCAAGACTTTCTTCTTCTTTCCTTTCTTATGCTATCTAGGTTACAAGTTTATTGGCTGGTGCCATCCACACCCTGGGTGAGTCTTCCATCTTCAGTGAGTCAGTTGTCCAGACACACCCAGAACTGTGCTAAACCAATCCGCTAGGTGTTTCTTATTCAAGTTGACACCACAATTAACTATGGGACAGATAGACTTCTCTGGATGTCAAAGCCAAAGACCACTGCCAAGGGGCCTGGGGAGAGGCTGTGGCTTACACACACAGCTCAGGCCCCAGGCAAGGAGACCTTTCCCAGGTCCTCCTTCATCACCACTTTGCAACTTGGACCAGGACACCCAGGCAGGATGCCCCAGGATAGTCATAAAGTTGTTGAAATGTTTGAATACTTCCATACCGGTAGGCAAACAGATCATATCCTGGGTGTGCTTTTGCCAGTTGCCCTTCCCTGATGCTCCAGGAACTAAGGGGTTAATGTTGCACACCAGGCAGCCCCTAAACCCTGCTCCTTAGCAAGCCCACCCTTCTGATTGGTTAGTGCTGGTACCTTACTGTTTGTTAAGTATCTTGACTATCGCACCTGAAAGAAAAAGGGACAGGAGGGTGTTAGAGATTCCACTTATTTACAGTACTGCTTTGGAATAAGCCTGCTTTGACATTTCTTTTTTATGGATGCTTTTATTCTGAAAGCACTCTGGACTTGTACTCAGTGATGAAGTAGCCTTGGCTCCTGCCGGAGGTGGTCACAGTCCAGCAGGGGAGAGAAGACATATGTGCCCTGAACTACAGATGATGGAGAAGGTGCTCCAGCAGGGAGGCTGGAACTCAGCTGATGGACACGGTCATTTCCTGCGGAGGTCAGGCTGCATGTCTGTGGTTTTCCAGGTCGTCAGGATAGAATGGCAATGTGCACGAATGCTCTCTTTTGGTCCCCGTGATGGGCACACATGGGCAAGCCAACTGGTAGGATGGCAGCTTACTTCCTATCATGGAGGAAGCACACCCATTGCTCTGGCAATGTATTGGCTTTGCGGTGACCTACTGAGCTGCCAGGGCCATCCAGGTACCATGGAGCTGATGCAATTAAATGCAACTGAATTAGACCAGGGAGGGGGATTCTATAGCTATTTCCCTGGGTTACTTTCACTCTTCCTAATTTAGACAGTGCAGAGATGCTCCAGGAATCCTCCTTAATTCAATGGATGCATGGGTCAAAGAGCAACAAACCTACCATTTAAAAACTAGTGCTGTTGAGATGCCAAAGGAGAAGCTGTCATAATGGTGAGCAAAGTTCACTCTAGTCAAAATAGAAGAAAGACTGAAAAATGACCCCTTCCATAAATATCCTCTCTCCTTCTTCCTGGGTCTATTTTTCCTTCCACTGAAAGGCCCTGTCGCTCTGCCATTCTGGGCCCTATTAACATAAGATCTTATGTTTATTCTACAGCCAACTATTAGCTGATAAGGCTTAACAACTTCCAGTAGGTATTTGCATTTTAATAGAGAATTATTGAAGACCAAAAAGCTTTCAGGGTTCACCAGAACAAAGCACAGATTTGGAGGTTGTGAGGTGATATTGTGGGAAGCAGAAAAAATTGTTCAAGTTGTTCTCAGGTTTCACTATGTTTATTCTATCCCCTCTACAAAAACCACCAATTCTCTGAACTCTCCAGTAACATTTCTACTCCTCTCCCTCACTCCCATCCCATCTCCACAAACCCATTAGTAGGGTGGCTTGTCAGCTTCCGAAGGAAGACACCTGTCTTTCATTTGAGGAAAATTCTGACTGGCCATTCTGGCTGGGGGAGATTAGCCCTCAGGTTGGGGGTAATGGAGGGAAGGGTAGATGGCTCAGAAATGGCATGGAAATATCAGAGATTGAGTTGGAGACTGTCAACTAAAACAGAAAAGGTGAGAAGAGATGAGAAAAAGACAGAGAGGAGAGTATGAGGATAGATAACGGTTTTCTATGGAAGATAGGTCAGTAAGAAGTACATGGTACAAGAAAGGCCAATGAACTTTCAGAATAAGAATGTTTCCCTGTTTAACTTTGAATTGAGGCATACATGTATGCTGAGCTCAGAGTAAACATGGACATGGTTTGGATGTGGTTTGTCTTCCATGGGTTCATGTGTTGGAGGTTTGGCTCCCGTTGTGCTTATATGAGAGGTAGTGGGATTGTTAAGAGGTGGGGTTTCATGGAAGGTCATTGGGGTTCTGCCCTTGGACAGGATTAATGTAGTTCTCATGAAGCCCCAATTAGTTCCTTGGAGCATGGGCTGCTATAAAAAGAGCAAGACTGCTGGCCCTCTTCTGCTCTGTGACTTCTTGTCTTGCCATGTGACCTCTCCCTTCTGCTATGATTACATCCACCATGTCGTGACTCAGCCATGGAGGCCCTCACTAGAGTCCAAATCAATGGGACTACCCAGTCGTGAACTTTCTGTCTCCAAACTTTTGTGTTACCTTTTTACATAAAGAACTGGCATTGGAGTATTTTGATATAGCAACACAAAATGGATTAATATTTCAAATTTCAGTAATTAAACATTTCTTCAGGTTCTAAGACAAATATTGGTACTGAGCAAATCCTAAATGGAAAAGTTAAGTTTGCGGTGACCAAAAGCCTAGGAAATGTTTAAATCCTGTAACCTTCTGTTACGGTTTGGATCTAAAATGTCTCCCCAGTGTCTTCTATGTTCAGAAGTGGGGCTTTGGGAAAGTGATTAGATCACGAGGATTCTGACTTCGATAGATAAATCCATTGATGAATCATAATCTGATGGCCTGATTGGGAGGTAATGGAAACAGGAGATGGAGCCTAATTGGAGGGAGTCATAGGGGTGTGAGCTTAGGGACTAGACCTGGTCCCCAGCCCCTCTTTTCTGGCTCTCTTCCCCTCTGCTTTGGCTGGCAGGAGGGGAGCAGCTTTCTGCCTCCACGTCCTCCCACCACGATGGTTCTGCCTCACCACAGATCCACAGGCCTAGAAGCAAGGAAACCATCTGACCAACAACTGAACCCTCTGAATTTGGGAGCCCAAATCAGTCTTCCTTCCTCTAAGTTGTTTTCCTCCGCTATTTGGTCACAGGGATGAAAGCTACTAATTCTACCAGCAATTGATCTTGAAATAAATAAGGTGAAACTAATATAAAACATTACTACACAAATGCAGTATTTTTGCACAAATAAAATTTAGAAACAATGTCCAGGGCCAGGAATTTAGCTCAGTGGTTCTGGCACCTGCCTCGCAAGTGCAAGGTCCCGAGTTCGATCCCCAGTACCAAAAAAAAAAAAGAAAAGAAAAAAGAAACAATGTCTATAATGTCCTCTACGGGGAATGCTTCATCAGCCTCCTTCTCTATCAATATCTTGTCCGTCCTTCCAGGTGTCTTCCTTTGATTTGCTACAAAAGCAGACCTTGAGACAAGGGCTGGAGTGTCAGTGGCTTAACTGAAAGAGGGCAATGATAAGGTGTGATGTTAATGAGCAGATTATTACCAAGAGTGATCTGGGAATTAATTCTCATGGGGATCCTCTGAGGAGCTTTGGAAAATGTGCCACAGAATTCTCCCAGCATGGAATGGGGCAGCTGGGACATTGATGTGCCAGCACCTACCAACCTTCCTCGAGGGCTGCCCCTGGGGGCATTTAGTGTGACATTTGTAGGTTGCTTCAAAGGAGACCGAGCAAAACTTCAAGGAACTGGAGGAAACCTTGAGCAGAGGAGCAGAGAGGTCCTTGACAGCAGGAATTGTCTACTACAGCTGGGGGTGCACTCAGAGGCCCTGGTAGAAAATGGGTCAAAGAGGCACAATATCTGCTACAGAGCCTCACTCCAAGCTCATCTCTGTGCTAAGAAATTTTCAAGTCTTTTATACAAGCACAAGCTCCTCTTTTGCCAATAATTCCAGAGCCTTTGTCTATATTGTTATTTCTTTGTTTGAGTTTAGGGATCTCTCTTGAACTCAGTTTCCTCATCTGTAAAGCAGCAATAATAAATGGGGACAAGAATATACCTGCAGTAAACTGCAAAAATGACTGAAACTTTTCAGCCTTCCGGCATCCATGCCCTTAACAGTATAATTTTGCAGCTCCTCTCATGAAGAAGCAAAATCTATTTCCTGCAGTCCTTGAATCTGGGTTACCCTTGTAAATTTGCTTTGGTCAAATGCAAGTGTAGCAGAAATGACAGTGTGCCAGTTTTGAGTCTCATCTTCATGAGTCTTGTGCCCCTGGAATCCTCCCTCTGCCAGGTGGATGAGCAGGACCTAACCTGCTGGAGGAAACAAAGGCAAAGCATTTCATCAAAGACCTTCCTAGACCAGCCAGCCCCCAGCCACCCAGATGCACCAGAGAGCCCAGCTAAGGTGCCTCAGCCAACAGCCAGCTGCCCTGGAAACAGAAGCTCCCAGCCAACAAACAGACTTGAGCAAAAATAAATGTATGCCGCTGAGGTTTTATGGTTGTTACCCAGCATTATTATGATAATAGATAACTGTTACAGCACCGGTTTCACTGAGGATTCAAGAAGCATATAAACATGTGCAGGATTTGGCATAGGTCCAGACCATGATCCATTTCTGTTAAATGGTAACTGTTATTGTTATAATCCTTATCACACTATCAGAGCGTGCCATGTATCCCAATAACTTATATACATGTCGGTTTCTCCTACTAGACTAGCGGTTCCTGGATGATAGAAAACCAGCTTCAATTCATCCCAAATGACATATTTTCCTCTATTCAGGAGCCCATAATTCAACAGGGGGAATGGCATGTACATAAAGTCTGTGGTGGGGACTAGAGATAGCGAACGTACAAAAGTGCTGAACACAGAGCTAGCATAAAGAAAATGCCCGATAATGATAAAGCAAATAATAAAATCCAAGCATCCCCTACATCTGGGCATTTGCATGAAAGGTAAGATTGATAAGGACAGGGCTGGCCTTCACCTCCACCACACAGAAATCCGGTCAAGGCAATGAGGGGCTTCTTTGGTGGTTTTATAGCCCTAGCTGCAGCTCGCACTTGCAGGCTTTCTCTCCCTCCAGAGACCAACAATCACATGATGAAAAAACTAATTAGAGCAAGCATGGTGCCCAGAATACATGGCCTATTAAGGAAATCTGAGTCAAATGAATGCAAAAGGACATCTACTGTAAATCTATCCTTAACAAGTGTTTCTTTTTGTTCTTTCCCAACTTTTCTAGGGGAGTTTATTGTTCAGGAAAAGGCATGGTAAAAATCAGTCCCCAAAGAGTTCCTCTTAGGGGCCAGCAGGCTTCATGTAGGCAGAAACACTCAGGCAGTACCTGCTGAGCCCAGGCAGCAAGGTTAGCAGAGACTCAGACAAATTCATCTTCATTTCACATCTTCTACAGCCTCTCGATTTAAACGGCAAGGCAAACCCAGTGATGTTATTAGAGGCAGGGAGAGGTGGCAGAGGATGTGTGGGCTAACTTGCATGCCATTTCCATTTTCCACAAGCCACCAGCTCGAGGACCTTGACTTAATTACTGAATTTTTCTGAGTCTTGAGTCTCTCGTCTCTGAAATAGGGACAATAAGAGGTCACCTTGTGGGACCAGTATGAAGGCCAGAGAAGAGGTCCCAATGATCTGGCTCCTCATGGCAAGTGTATAAGGCCAGGATAGCCCAGTGGTAAAGGAATTGAGCTCATGTGACAGATGGCCTGTATTTTTATTCCTGCTTTGCCACTGGCTAACTGTTCTTAACTTTTCTGTATTTCAGATGACATAAAATCTGTAAAGCGGAGAGAATCATCACTGACTTTGAGGTTGTCGTGAGGCTGAGATGAGCAGACCTATGCAAAGTCCTCCCAGCAGTACTGGCATATGGCAAGCACTCAGTGAGGGTGAGCAATGACTCCTATTCAAATAGAATTATGAATAGAAATCTCTGATGACCAGAGATCCTAATCATCTCACTTTAGTCCAAATATCAGCTGCAATACATCAGCTCATACACACAAATGGCAAGAGTAGATTTAAGCAAATCATAACTCCATGAGTCATGATTCCAGTTTATAAGCAGAGAAGCACAATTCAATTTTATAGGCAGCTGGGCTGCTAATTAAGAAGAAGCCCTTAATTATAGCACCTGACACAGAGCCCTGTCTTGTGCTTGCTTGCCTTACTTTTCCTCACTTCGCCTCCCTAAGTCTATCCCTCCTCTTTCTCTGCTTATTATTTATTCCCTGTCCCCATAGAGGGTATGTCAGTTGTCCAGAGACCTAAAAAGTGAAACTGCTCTCTGGCTCCAGAACTCACACAGCAAATGTGCACTGGAAAAGCAAAACTCAGATCCCCAGGGTTCTGACTTCTGAGGATAATGAGGGAACCTCAGAGTAGGGGGAGCAAAGAAAATGGCCCTTGGAATGTACCCAAGAGAAACGAAAAGTTTCGTTTATGTGAAATCTGTATGCCAATATTTATAATGACTTTATTCATAATTGCCCCAAACTGGAAACCATCCCAATGTCCTGCAACTGGTGAATGGATAAACAAATTATGCTACTTTCATACAGTGGAATACGACTTGCAATAAAATGAGCAAACTACAGTCATGCATTGCTTAACAAAGAGGATGCTTCTGAGATAAGCACTCCTAGGCCATTTCATCATTGTGCAAGCATCACAATGTGCATTTGCATAAATCTAGAAGGTGTATGCCAGTATGTCAATCACTCCATGTGGCTTTTTTTTTGGCAGTAGTAGTAATTGAACCTAGGGCCTTTGCACTCTCCAGCACCTTTTTATTTTTTTTATTTTGAGAAAAAGTCTCCCTAAATTGTCTAGGCTGAGCTCAAGCCTCCTGCCTCAGCCTCCCAGAGTGCTGGGATTACACCATGCAGCCACCACACCTGGCTTCCACAAGGACTCTTGCAACAAAGCAATCAAGAGATCCAGTAAGCACAAGATGGATGAGGCTGCTGCTGGCAGACTGTTTTATCTATTACTTTTTCTTTTTTCTTTTTTTTGGTACAGGAATAGAACTCAGGGCCTCGCTCTGCCAGGCAGGCGCTGCACCAATGAGCTACATCCCTGGCCTTGGCAAACTGTTTTTCCATAAACTTTTTCTTTTGTAAGTATAAGGAGCACATTTTAAAATAACAATAAAAAATATAATATAGAAACCACATAAGCCAGTTACAGTCATTTTTATCATAATCAAGTATTATGTAGTGTCTATAATTATATATGCTATACTTTTGTTTGGTTTTTATTTTCAGTTTTGTTTATTTGTTTGTATTTTTGGTTTTGAGACAGGGTCTCCCTGTGTAGTTCAGGCTATCCTCGAACTACCCCTGCCTCAGTCTCCTGAGTGCTAGGATTACAGGAGTGGCCACTATGCCGGGCTTGCTATACCTTCTCATGAACACAGTAGTTCAATTTACACCAGCTTCATCACAAACATGTGACTTTATGATGACTATGATCACTACAAGATAGGAGTTTTTCATCTCCCTTATAATCTTACAGCCCCACCAGCACACATGTGGTCCGTTGTTGCCTGAAATGTCATTATGTGATACATGATTGTGCTAACACAAGCATAATATGCATGTGTCTCAAGTACACTAGCTAAGTAAAAGAAGCCAGACTCAAAAGGCTGCATATCATACAATGCCCATTAACCTGACTTCCTCAAAAAGACAATGCTGTAAGGACAGAAAATAGATCAGTAGTTTCCAGACCCTGGGATGAGAAAGGAGAGTGGCTACAAGGATCCTCAAAAACTAGAGGACAGAATAGAAATTTCTACATCTGCATTGTGGTGGTTCTCACACGGGACATGTGTTTGTCAAAACTCAAGAGAACTATTCACTAAAATAGACTGAATACAGGGCCTTTACACTGAGCTGCATCCCCGACCCTTTAAAAAGCTTTTCTTTTTTTTGAGACCAGTGCCTAGGCTGGGCTCAAACTTGGGATCCTCCTGCCTCAGTGTCTCAGAGTGCAGGGATAACAGGCATGCATAAAATACATAATTTTTATTGCATGGGAATTAACATTAGTAAACCTAATTTGATAATAAATAATCCATAGGAACCCTGGAGAAGCAAAAACAAAAAAAAAATCCCTGGGCACTTTCCGAAACCAAGGATAACTTCTAATTTTTTTTTACATTATGTATTTTATTTTTACATTGTGCATTTCTTGAGATTCTCATTAGCCACAGAGACGCCTTTTTAAAAGTATGGGCAATTAATCCTATCAAATGTAGTAACATTAGTGTATGAAAATATTTTTATTCCCAAGCAAAATCAGTCTTGCAGGAAGAATAAGATATGAATTCCATTAAGCAAAACGTGTTACCAGTCCTTCTCCATGTCAGATGACGCATAGGCTGGGATGCCTTGTTTCTGATTCTGAAGAAGAGGAGATAAGCGCTGTTAACAGGACTTGCTCAGCCTTTTCAAAGTGACCTCAATGGACAATGACCTCAGCACTGGGAAAGCTGGTCCTAGGAAATGAAGGCAAAGTTGAATAGAGAAATGCCAGGTGAGCGGTCTTGGAAACATAGCTTTGTCCACATGAGAGGGCCAACATGGATAATGATCTAAGAATCTGCATTTGGAATAGTTCTAAACTTCTCAGGGCCAAGCACTACAGAAAAGAGACCTGGGTTCCACATTCTATTACAGTTATATGAGAGTAAGGACTGGCTTTTGTGAGTTTCTTCCCCCATTAAGATCATTTCTCCAATTTAAAACGTACTTTACTGATGAGTCATTAGTGCCAGCTATTCAAAGAATGACAGCTCTAAAAAGTGTCTGATGACAAGTGAGTAACCCAAAGCTGGATGGCTACAGAGGAGGATATGAGTGACATTAGCCAAGGCGTACTGGGTATGTGCTTAGTGCCGATGTGTGTGACTTCATTTCATCATCCCAGAACAACCTCCAAGGAAGATGCTGTTATCACCACTTTACAAATGGAAGATGAGGGCCTGGGATTTAGCTCAGTGGTGCCGCTGCCTGCCCCACAAGCACAAGGACCTGAGTTTGATCCCTGGTACTAAAAAAACCACACACACACAAAAAAAAATGGAAGATGAAGGCTTAGAGAGGTGATGCTGCTTACTTGTTTGTTTTTTCTTTCTGTACCGGGGATTGAACTCCGGACCTTGCGCTTGCAAGACAGCCGGCAGAACCACTGAGTTAAATCCCCGGCCCAATGCTGCTTACTTGTAACCATTTTATATTTTCAAATGCAAATGTTCTGCAATTCCACGGTAAGCAAAAATGGTTTCTAAATTAAATTTAGACAGAGGTTGCATGAGGCAACAGGAGAGAAAGTGTAATCATAAAGAGATTAGCAGTGGTGTGTTGGAAAGTGTTTATGGTAACAACCAGCTCTGGGATATACCCTAAGTAAATATTGCACTGTGTCCAAGTTTGAGTTATCCCCATGAAGTTGAGCAGCTTGCAAACTTCCAGCTAATTTAACCACCATCTCTCCTGGAAGCTATGAGTAGGGAAATTTAGGGTAAAAAACATCAGTTTAGAGAAAAGTTGAGAGAACCCTGAATGAACTAGAAGGCAAGAGTTGGAATAGCAGAGTATCTGGAAGATAAATGAGAAATGAAGGACATGGGACAATAATAGAGAAGGGGACAGATTTGAGACCTACTGAGGTAAGATGGAAGTCTCACTGGAAGTTTTCAGAATCCACAGGAAGCCCAAGTCACATGCTGTCCCATGGTCCCCAACGTTTAAGGCTATGAGTACACCTGGGGTTTATCTCTGGAATGAAGGAGTGTCAAAGAATTTTCAGCCTGTTTTAAAACTTGCACGAGAATAGGAGTTGGGGAAAATGCAAAGGGAAGCCATATTTGTAGGGGGAGGAACTGTGTACCCATCAAGCCTGAAGGACACTGTGAAGCTGCAAGGCGACAATGAAAATTGAGGTCAGATCAGAAACTAAGTGACAGGAGGGACTGTAAGTATCAGATATTTTAAGGAAAGATCTATGAGCAGCAAGGATGCTGGGGGTTCCCTTTGCAAGTCGAGCAGTGCCTAGTGTGTGTGTGCTATGGTTGGGATTTAATATGTACCCCCAGAGAGGCTCATTGCATTGAAGGCTTTGTTGTCAAGGGGCTTTTGAGGAAGTGATTGGATCATCAGACCTCTCACTTAATCAAGTCCATCAATCCACTGATGAGATGATAATTTGATGGAATTGTTGAAAGGTGATAGAAACAGGAAGTGGAATCTAGTTGAAGGAAGTGGATCATGAGGGCCTGCACTTGGGGACTATATCTTATCCCTGGACCCTTTGTTTCTGGCTCTTTCCCTTTTTCTCTGTCTCCTGACCACCATGAGATGAGCAGCCATCCTCTCCCACACTCTTTGACCCTGATGTTTCTGCCTCAGCACAGGCCTAAAGCAATAGAGGCCTCTTTTCTTCAAACTTAAACCTCTGAAACCAAGAACCAAAAGAAATCTTTCCTCCCTTAAACCATTTTGTTCAGGTATTTCATCTCAGTGATAGAGCACTGACTAACACAGTGTGATGGGGGTGGTATTGCTCATCTTAACAGAAGTCTCTACTTCAGGAGAGGTCAGGAACAGTGATCCCTGGTCAGGGTTTAGAAAAGTGGAATAGAAAACAGATTGAGTCACTGGGAAAAGGAAACACTGATTTCTGGTGAACACATTGGCAAAGTTGCTCTGAAGCCTAAGCACAAAGAAGCAAGCACTCTACCACTGAGCTATATCCTCAGCTAAATTTTGTTTATTGATATTGCCAAGTTGCCCTTCCAAATATCTCATGCATTTCCCCTTCTCTATGCTTAACATTGTATGTCATTAATGTTTTTCAATGTGCTAATCTGGTAGGTTATCTCGTTTTATTTTGATACTCTTGTTATTCTTTAATAGATTTATTAGTCACTTGCTGCTCTCCTATGAATTTTGTGTTCATATGCTTTGCCTGTCTCTATTGGGTCATTGGTCTTTTCCAGGTGGATTGCTATGAACTCCTTGCATATTAAAGCGATTAGTCCTTTGTGTATCATGTATTGCAAACATTTTTCTTTCTGTTTCTTGTTTATCTTTTATTTTTTTCCCTATAAGGGGTTATTTGTTTTGGTGAAATTTTTTTCTGCATGCAAATTTCAGAGTTTTTCCTAATATTTCAGTAATAAGCCTTATCTTTAGTGGTTTCTCAATTTCACACCATATTTAGAACGGCTTTTCCTTTAAAAAAATTTTACCCATGTTTTTTTTCTAGGATGGGTGCTGTTGTTATGGCATTTCTTTGAGAGTTGAGCCATTGCAATTCCTTTGGTTAGAAGAAGTGAAGATATAAGTGACCTTTGTAAAATGGTTTTGCATTTTTCACAATACACTTTATTGAAGAAGTGTGACAAAGTATAAAAAAAACCATTGTCTCATTACTGCTTAAGAGGCCAGCTTTATCCTAAAATAATGTTTATATATACTTTTGCTTATTTCTGCACTTGCCATTGTTTAATACAATGTTTCTGTCTTCATATCAGTCTACAGCATTTTAATTATTATAATGTAATGAAGCATTTAAACATTTGATAGATGTATTTCCCCTCATTATTCCTTTTACTTACAGATTGTCTTTATGGCTCTTCTTCCATGTTTGCTTTTTGCAATTAACTTCAGAATAATTTTTTCAAGGTTTTATAAACCTTACATTCTGACTGGCATAACCTTGATTTTATAAATTAATTTTAGGAGATATCTTTTAATATCTTTGTGATAATGTTTATAAGTTTTCAGTTCCTAAAAAAGAGTAGCACATCTATCGATGTAGTAAAGCCTCCTTGAACAAAATAATATTGTGTGTATCAGTCACTTTCTCATCACAATGCCCAACACTATCAACTTGAAGCAGGAGATGTTTATTTTGGCTCATAGCTTTCAGAGGATTCAGTCCATGGTGGTTTGACTCTAAAGCAGAAATGGCATGTAAAAGGGTGTGGCAGAGAAAAGCTGCTAAACACCTGGCAGCCGCTAAGCAGAGAGAGAAAAGGAGCCATAGACAAGAACACACCTGTCAGGGCTAGCATTTAGCTCAATGGCACCACCCCTGCCTCACAAGTGCAAGGTCCTAAGTTCGATGCCCTGTACCAGAAAAAAAAAATACACCCTTCAAGGTCATGCTCTAATAATCTGTCTTCAACCAGGTCCACCTTCCAACAGGAGGTCAGCTAGGAACTCATCAGCAGTCTAATCCACTGATGAGTATAGCATCCCCATGATCCAATCACTTTCCAAACACATGAGACTTTGGGGGGACATTTTAGATAAAAACCATAACATTCCACCTGCAGCCCCCAAAAGGCTCATGTCCATTTCATTATGCAAAATGCCTTTAGCTCATCTCTAAGAGTTACGAAAGACTTAACAATTCTGGCTTTGTTAAAAGGTCCAAGTTGAAAGTCTCTAAGACTTAACTGTGAGCCTCTGTAAAAATGTAAAGATTAAAAAGGAAATTAAATACTTCCAACAGGAAACATTCTCAATCCAAAAGGGAGAAGTAGGGGAACAAAAAGGAATGAGACCAAAGCAAGATTGCAACCCTACAGAGCAAACATTAAATCTTGTAGTTCCATGTCCAGCATCTGGGGTAGGTTGTGGTGAGATACAATCTCCAAAGGGCTTGGGCAGTCCTACCCCTATGACCTTGCTGATTGCAGCCACATGGCCTCTCACATGGGCTGGCTCTACTTGTCAGCTGCAGCTTTCATCAGCAGATATTCCATTTTCCTGGCATCTCCAAATCCCATGGCTGTCCACTACACTTTCAGCTTCATCTTCACAACTTCACACACTGTCTTTTCAAGGTCACACTGCCTGGCCCCTCAAGCATTCTTTTGAAATCTGGGTGAAAGCTTCCATGACCCCATACCTTTGATAGTCCACATGCCTGAAATACCAGCACCATATAGATGATCCCAAGGTCTGACACCAGCTCAAGCAGTAGCTAGGCTTCTCTAGCCCACATCTCTAAACCATTCCAAACTCCCCCTGCAAATTAGTTCCAAAGGCTTCTGAACAACATGGTCAGGAATAGTCACAGCAGAGACCCTACTGCTGGTGTTAAAAGCTATTAGTCAGCTTTTCCCATCACTGGGATACAATACCCAATTTGCACAATTTAAAGGAAGACAGGTTTATTTTGGCTCACATTTTTAGTAGGTTCAGCCTGTAGTCAACTGGCTCCAAGGCAGAAATGGCATGGTGAAAAGGGCATAGTGGATAAAAGCTGCTCACCCCATGGCAGCTGAGAAGTAGAGAGAGGTGAGGATCTGGAGACATAATACACTCTGCCAAGTCATCCCCCGGTGAACCACATCTAAGCGGGCCCCACCTCCTAACAAGTCAGCTATGAACTCATCAGCTATCTTAGTCACTTTCCTTGAAACTTAACCTGAAAGTTAAAAGAGTAGAGGTTTTATTCTGACTCACATTTCAGTCCATGGTCTGCTGCCTTCTAAGAAAAAACACCATGGCAGAGGAGTA